GCAAAACTGTTTGGGGGGGGCAGAAAACAAATCCGAATCAGCCCACTCTTACATGCCTGCAGGCCCCTCTGAACGTTTTTCGAAGTGGTTGGGGGGATGCTAAAGTATTTACGATGAGGTGGAGTGTAGCATAAATTGACGTAGTGTCTAGGGGCAAAGCCCCGGCGGGGTCAAGGGCAGAGCCCTCGGAAGCTCAAGGGGTATTGACATTTAATCGCGGTCAGATGAGCATATTTTGATTCCTTATTTGTGACACTGGCAGGACACTAAATGGCATGGGGACCAAGGGACGGAGCCCCCAGAAGCTCAGGGGTTTTAGGCATTGGGCCCACCTTAGGGTCCTAGGAGGGGTCCATGGGGCAGATCCCCTGGAAGCTCAGGGTTTTTCGGCAATATGATTATGGTCAAATGAGCATATTTTAATACCTTATTTGTGACACTGGCAGGACACTAATTTGCTTGTAGTCCAGGGACGGAGCCCCCAGAAGCTCAGGGGTTTTAGGCATTAAATAACCGTCGAATGAGCATCTATGAGCCCACCTTAGGGCCATAGGAGGGGTCCATGGGGCAGATCCCCCGTAAGCTCAGGGGTTTTCGGAAATATAATTATGGTCAGATGAGCATATTTTGATACCTTATTTGTGACACTGGCAGGACACTAATTTGCTTGTAGTCCAGGGACGGAGCCCCCAGAAGCTCAGGGGTTTTAGGCATTAAATAACCGTCGAATGAGCATCTATGAGCCCACCTTAGTGCCCTAGGTGGGGTCCAGGGGTCGGAGCTCCTGGAAGCTCAGGGGTTTTAGGCATTTAATAACCGTCAAATGAGCATCCAGGGGCCTGCATTAGGTAGGTGGAATCCAGGGGGCAGCGCCCCTGGAAGCTCAGAGGTTTTAGGCGTTTAATCATGGTTAGATAATTATTTTGATACCTCATTATTTTGTGGCACTGACAGGTCACTATTCTTTCTTTTCCTCTTTCTTTCGATTTCTCTTTAATATACTTTTTTTTTTAAATTGGGGGAGGGGGCTCGAGGCCCCCGAGCCCTGCCGTTCCGCGGGCCCTGACATTTAGGCCTAAATAAGCATATTTCTCGCCTGACTGTAAATTTAGGAATTTGTCATTTTCCAACAAACGCATCAAAAAGTATATAATTTACTAAAAAGTGAGGAAAAATCTCGGAAAATTACGTCATTTTAGCAACATTTGTAAACCACCGGTATCGAATTTATTTTAATTTTATTCCCCCCCCCCCCAGATCTACACCTTGTTGCCAGGAAACCTTTCTCTCCTCTTTCCTTTTCCCTTCTCTTCCTTCTCTCTCTTTTAGGTTTGCTGTGGAGGGAGAGGAGGCAAAGGCCTTTCACCACCCCCTATCAACACGTTGTTGGCGGGATTAATCGCTACTGATCTCCCCTTCTTTTCAACCCAGTTTTCTTTTCTTCCTCTTTTTTGTTCATTATTAGCTCTCCTCTTTCCCTTTTCCTTCCTTCTCTCTTTCCTTTGGAGGGGGGGGGAGGCAAGGCCTCCCCCCCCCCCTCCCCTGATCCACAACTTGTGGCGGGAAAATTGCAACTTATATCCCCCTTCTTTTTTCTTCCTCTTAATTCCTTCCCTTTATCTCCTCTTTTCCTTTTTTCTTTCCCTCTCTTTCCTTCTCTCTTATTTTTGAATGTGGGGGGGGGGGAAGGCCCTTTCGACCCCTTCTCTTTTTTTATCTTCTTTTCTTCTTCCTCTTCTTTCTTTTCCTTTCTCTCCTCTTTCCATTTCCACTTCCCTTCTTTTCCTTCCTCTCTCCCTCTCTCTCTCTTTTTTTTTTGGGGGGGGGGGGGGGGGGGCCAAGGCCCGCTCGGTCCCCTTCTGGATCTGCGCCTGAATTTTCCAGATACGGTGTCTGAGTTATGCTCATAAAGTACGTAGTACGCTTACTTAGAGCAAACGAGGATGAAACTGACAAATTCAAATGATGGTATCTTCCCATAGTTTGTACTATTTCAAATAATGACAAGCTCAATGAACGGTTCTAGGACACATACCCCCTGGACACCCGCTCCCGCTCCCCCCCCCCCCCCCCCCCCCCCCCAGATAACCACCTCAAGTAAACTACCCCCTTGGACAATTACCCCTTAGTACAACTACCCCCTATGGCAACCACCTTCTAGGACGACAACGCCCCGGGACAACTACACCCGGACAACTACCCCCTACGACAACCATCCTCTAGGACAACTATCCCCGGACAACTATCCTAGTTGGTAGTTGTCTTACCATGGACGGCGATCTTAATCTGAATAAAGTGATTAAATCCTTACTTATAGTTCGAAAAATAGAACAACTGGGAATTCATATACCATTGGTCATTTGGTACTTGATATCCTACAATGCAGAGTAAATTATACATGAAATATTACTATTTCTTGATAATAGTAGTTATGGCCAAGATAAAATGGGAAGAGAAAAAAAGATTATAAGATCATGGGTCATTCTTTTTTAACACACTGATTTTGTTAAGTATTTATTCCGCTGTGAGCTTATTTTGGGGTGTTTTTTGTATTGTTCTGTATTGTTTTGCTTTTTTGATAACCATCATTGAACAATAATAACTAAAAAATGAAATAAAATCAAGTTTTCAAACCTTATCTGTTGGCATTCGCCTTCTCTCACGATGTTCCATTACGATATACCACGATGTTTGGCGTTCTAGTCCGTCTTCCTTTCGAAAGAGGTCTTCAAACTAGTCTGGAAGACACAATCCCTGGGAGTACACGAATAACGTGTGATTTTATAGGCTCCGTACTCCAGGCTTTTATGGAATGTTGTTAAGTGTCAAATAAAGACTACGTAGAACTAGTTGTAGGCCAGTATTTTGACACAGCCAACTTGGCTCAATGCTTTATGAAACGTTGTGAGGTATTAATTTAACGCCTGTGCCTGTAGACTACGTACATGTAGAGACGCGGTCAAACATGAAAGTCACTTTCTACCTGCAAAAACATATCAAGCAATAGCCGACTAAGCATAAATAGTTGTTTGGATAGATCTACATGTATTCTAAGGCATTGAACTCGATCAAAATCACTATTTGCACATCCGCTATTCAAACGAATGCCAAGTGCACAGTCCATGCATGGCCAAGGGGTCAACTCATTGTTGCGGGGAGGGGGGGGGGGGGGGGGGCGGAATACCACTGTTTTAACCTTCAAAACGTACCACAGGGAAATTCGAATATCTACTTCGGACATGATAGCAGGGGCTTTTTCTCGAAAAATCACCCTCAGATAATTTAATTAGCCCTATTCTTTACATATTGAAATGTGCGAACATCAACATGATATTATGTAATCCAAACACGGTTTCTAACGGATATTGAAAATTCCAACGATTTTTTTTTTTAAATCTTTGCGACGATGTTTTCGGCACAATATGAAGTGGTGCAAAGCTGGTTCTAGGACACCTACCCCCTAGACAACCACCCCTAGGATAATCACCCTCTAGGACAGCTATCCCCTAGGACAACTACCCCCTTTGGACAACTACCCCAGGACAAATACCCCAGACAACTACCTGCTAGGACAACTACCCCCCCCCCCCGACAACCATCCTCTAGGGTAACTACCCCCCGGACAACTATCCTAAGGGTAGTTGTCTGGGGGTGGTTGTCCTAGGGGGTAGTTGCCCTAGAGGGTGGTTATCCTAGGGCCGGTTATCCGGGGTGGATTTCCAGAGGGTAGATGTCCGGATACGCTCTATCTTCGCTCCGTACCTTGATTCTTCACCATATTCATTTCATCTATTACAATACAGCGTTAACATTGTTCATAAGTATGTGTTTCAGGGATGGTCCGTACGTGGTCCATGCAGCGGATAAGCCACCGGACCATAAACCAATTGGACAGGGTGTGATTATTCGAGAATGGTATATAAATAAGCTAATATTTAAAACAAATTAATGCAAAATGCCCTGTTAAAGGTATTACAAAGTTTTGGTAAATTTTGAAAAATGGGTGGATAGTGATTCTTTACAATTTTGATATATTTGGATGCCCCTGTGGAAGACTAGAATCTTTAGCCCCTAAAACACTTCTGTTTTCGAGAAAAATTGAATATAAAGATTTACCGGTGCTCCCGGTAAATGTTGATAAATTTCAAATAGCTCCTACGGCCGTACAATGGTAGCTGCGACCATAAAAATCCCAGAATATGTAGTTGCGGTAAATAATTTCCGAACGGGAATAGCTAATCGGTCGATTTTAGTCAAGAAACATTGTTTTATAGTGTGTGTGTGTGTGTGTGTGTGTGTATTGGGTTTTTACAGACGTGTATCAATCAGATATGATTATTTACGTCTGGGACCGACCTTTAAACGTCACCATCCGAAAGACGTGACTCAGTTTCGAACCTGCGTCCTCGGCTGAATCAGTTTGTAACTTCCACTTTTTAGCTGGATTACAGGCGCACGCCACAACGCCTAGTTTATAGCTTAATTAATATCTTGACCTTGAGAGGGAGCTATACAACATAAAGTGTTTATTATTTACAATTTCATAACGTTAGACTCGATTTCGACAGCGACAACGATCAGTGAATATTGTAGGATCGCATATGCTTTCAATATGTTCATTTGAACCAAATTCACGACCCCATACCAAAACTTTGCATTACCTTTAAACGGGACTTTGAGGTCATTATAGCATGTGGTAAGCTAATCCATGAATCTTAACAATTCAGAGACCAAAGTCTAATATCAGAAGAATAGTACTAAATAATGGTTTTATTTGGGTGGTAAAATGGAATGTTAAATCGAACGAGGGATAGGGTGAGCAAGGACCCACTCTTATTTGTTTATTTTTTTTTCCTTTTTATTTTGGAAGCCAGGCATAACGCTTTTGAATATCCGGACATTAACTAATGATACTAAAGTCCAACAGTGTACAAATACGTGCTGTTTTTATCAAACAAACAATGCTTCCTCCATTAACGCCCTCCGTGTTACGATGAGGAAAGCGTAAAAAAACAATTATCGCGTGTTGTGTAGATAGATGAAACAAATACGTTTTGTGAAATACTAGTTCAGTGGGGACATGAGCAGATGTTACAGAGCTGAGAGATAACTCCAAGAGTGCTTATATCAGTTGCAAGTTGGGAAATTCAAGAGCCGCCCGAGAAGCTCGTACAAGAGAGAATTGAGTGACCGATACGCATCGAGCCCAGTACAGAAGAGAGAGATACAGGTTTGTCGAGGTTCTGGACATATAAAGGCATGGCACAGTGGTTGGGGCGTGCAGCGGTGGTGACGGGAGCAGGTTCGGGGTTCGGCGAGGCCATCACGCGAAGCCTTGCTAGAATCGGGATGAGGATACTTGCAACCGACGTCAACGTCGATTCTGTTGAGGTAATTATACACAGCATTTCTTTAACTTAAAAAATAATAATAAAGAACGGTGATTTATACTGCAAGATAAAACGCATAGAGTCCTATAATCAAGAAGGGCAGTTTTCATGACGAATGGATCAATTCGTATTCCTGTGCTTTAAATTGTATGTGATGCGGTGCAAATTCCAAAAATCTGGTCTAAATTTCCAAACCTTTATGTCTTAATTAAAGTTAAAACAGAATATAGAGTATCAAATGGCACAAAAGAATGACAGGTTACATTTACATTAAAAAAAAAAGTCTTTTAATTTGAGGTAGATAGACATGTGGAGATACCCTATTTATGATGTAACATGTACTGGGCCCCGTCTATAAAGAGTTGATATCAATGGCAACTATGTACATAAGAGATAAGAGACTGCAAAATTGCAATTGATTGGAGGACTGACGATTGATTTGGATCAATCGTAACTTTTTATAACTCGGGGCCCTGGACTTAAACCGTTGTAAATATTTTGTATGTACATATATATTTTGTTATTCTTGTGTTTTATGTTTCTGTTTTGGGCTTTCATTAAAGACATAAATATATATTTTTTAATTTATTTGTAAAAGTAATCAAAAGCGCGCATGCAGCAACTATTTAAAAAGTCTAAATGTTACAGAATAGATACCACCTAAAATACTTAAACGTTTTTTTTTTTTTTTATGTTCATCTATCTTTTCCTTGGTCTGGACGGCGTTGAATGGCACAAATAATATGTTGTTACATACTGGTTTGGGACGTACTACTCTGTACGGCTGACATTTGCATGTAACTATAGCAGTCATAGAGCTAGTTGAATCAAGTCTATTGCAAGCAGATACTCGTAGAAGGGACTACACACCCATGACAACACGTAACCAAGATGATAGTAGCAATGTTCACACGGCACCATCGTGGTTTAAAACTCTAGGTTGGCGAAATCTCGAAATGTAAACAACGATCCATGAACAATGATGTGGGTTCACACGTCATCGAAACAACGATTGCTTGATGTATTAACCAACAAGTCGGTAGAATAGTCTTTGTAACTACAAGCTCGTGAAACCTCAAGCAGGTCTCGCATTAACCGTAAGATCGCTTGTGGTTTAAAACTTCGTGCACAATTTAAGTTTTCAAAACTACGAGTTCATCCAGACGGCTTTCAATTTTAGATTACCTCAAAAAAAAATAAAACCACGAGCTTAACTTAAATTTGAAGGACTGCCGTGTAAACATATAGCCAGTGTCTGAACACTATGAATGAACATTATACTTTTTGCGGCAGAGTCAATGATTAAAGGGTGTCGATACATATAGGATCAACATTGTAGGAACGTAATGACGGACAAGCGTGTAAGTGAGTTGGAGAGAGGGAGAGAGAGATATATATATATATATATATTAAAGACTTGGCAGAGAATAGGAGCGAGAGACACCTACTTTTTTGTAAAGATTAAAAAAAGGTGTGTGTGCGCGCGTGTGGTGAGATAGATAGAGAAGAGAGGGGGGGGGTTAAGACTGATTATAAGCATACGTTAATTCAAACATTTTATTATACTTGCTCCGGATGACGCTCTGTCACCCATGCCGGACGTAAACATAGTCAAAATCTATCCTCCACCATTGTCGTTATCGCATAACTCGAACTTGAATTGAAAGTTGGATTTAATTGAACTCCCAATTTAACAAACATCCCTCCTATTGTGCATATCTTCCTAATTGTGCCTGTTTTCCATCAGTTTTCAATTCACAGAGCCCCCTGGCCCCCTGGAAAATAGTACTTTGAATACTGACGCGGCTACCCTGTTTAAATAAAACGGAATAAATAAATAAATAGATAAGTTTTCGGTACCGTTTTTATCCATTTTAGACAGATAAGTTGTCAAAATGTTCTAAAGACAATGCTGGCAGATAATCATGGTGTAGGATAATGACCTTTAGACTGTTGCGGCGATCGGTTATCATGTTCCCTGTCCTTATCAGGAAAGAAACGTACGGTGACCACACATGTCAGACAGAAAAGCAAAGAATACAGACAGGACCGGTGATCTCATGTCGTAGCTGGACTTGTGGACCGTCACTGGCGTAGCTACAGGGACATGGGGGCACCCAGGGGCGGATCCAGCCGGCGGCAAGAGGGGGGGGGGGGGGGGGCAAATCTTGAGAAAATATTTAGCGGCGAATCAGCCAGCCGGCGAACGGCGAATGAGCGGGGGGTGGGGGTGGATAAGAGCACATATATTTGTTTTGAAGTCCAGTTTTGGGGGAACATTTTTGCGCCGACTCAGCCGGCCGGTGAATATTAAAGCGGGGGGATGCTGGAGAGGAGGACCACTAATTTCTTCTTCTTTTTTTCGAGGGGGTGGGGGAGGTGACTTTCTTTTTAACTCTCACTTTCACCTATCCCAGATAACCCTAAGTTTTTTGTTGCTGCTTTATATGTAGTTGATAATGCATGATTAAAATGAATAGAGAGAGAGAGAGAGAGAGAGAGAGAACCACCATCATTATGCAATAGTTCAGGGTTTGTGTATTGTACATTTGAAACCATTTCTTAGCGTCTCAACCGTAAAAAAAATAGCGAAACTATTTTTGAGGAAAAGCATTATACTGAACTGAATAAAGAATAATAACTTTATATTGGCTCATACTGATACGGGCTAAAGACAATGTGGTATCGGCACAGTAAGATCGGGTATTTGTATAGAGGTGTTCCAAAATGACATTCTGATAATCAACATTTTGTTCTGTTATCATATGTATATACGCATAATACATCTGATTTTTATGACTTCTTAACGTGACATAGCTTCTTCTCCCCCTGCAAATAAAAAAGAAACCAAGGTTATTTAATAAAAGGATCATGCGACAAAATGATCATTGTGTTCAAATTGATGCAAGGATTTTTTTGAATTAGCAATGCTTTTCACCAGAATCTTCTTTGTAAAAACGACTTTTACAAATCTCAGCCATACAATTCTGCCACTGTGTTGTAGGATCACTTTCAGATTAGGAGAAGTGTATTCTTTAATGAGTATTTAAAATTGAATGGAACGTCTCAACACAGTAAGCATGGCTTATTCAAACAAATATTCGCATCAATTGAATCACAATCATTATTTGTCGCTTAATCCCTTTTAATGACCTTGTTTTCTTTCTCGTTTGCAAGGGGAGAAGAAGATATGTCATGTTAAAGACATCATAAAGATCAGTGTTGTATGCGTATACACAAGCCCCGCGGAACGTTTATCAAATTTGGGGGCTAAAGTATTTACGATCAGGTAGAGGGTAGCGAGCGTAAATTGATGTTGAGGGTTCAGGGAGCGGAGCCCCAGGAAGCTCAGGGGTTTTAGGCATTTAATTACGGTCAGAGAAGCACAAATATTTTGATGCCGCATTTGTGTCACTGGCAGGTCAGGGGGGAGGGGCCGTTTTTTTAAAGGTAAAATTTACGTTACTATCCTATTTTTTACCGGTTTGGGAGGCTAGCGGGGGGGGGGCGGTGGGCCGGGCCGGGCCGGTAGAATCGGCCCGTGGATCCGCGCCTGGGGACACCCCAGTCAGATGGCGAAGGAGTGATAGACCCCGTTCTCACCCACTTCCTGGACCGATTTCGAAATCATTCTACCATTTCTATGATTTTTTTCTCCGCAATAATAATTGATGAAATCGACTAGAAAAGCTCGACAAGACTTTACTCTGATTTTACTCTGGCCTTTTTAAGAACTCTTGTTAATATTTATCTCATAGTATAAAGTGTTTTTGGTAGAGACGCGAGCTCTCGTAGATTTGCTATAGGTTATTTCAGAAAGTGTCGGGTGAATTGGAACCGACAAGTTGGCGACAAGGGGGTATATTTCACAAACGGTAAACCCGAACCTTCGACAGGTAGGGCCTGATTAGTCACGAAAGTTCGTGTAACCCGAAGACGCGAAGACCTGATGAAAAGCAGTAAGCCTTCAAGTTGATTATAGCTAAGGGGGGGGGGGGTAAGGGGGGAAAGGATAAGAGATTAAGAAAGGGAACGTGAAAATAAGATAACAGGACTGCTCCCTTCAACACCTCTAATCGATGGCCTCGATTCGTATTTTTATGACATTGAGAATGATAATGGTGATGATGGATATGATGATCACGACGATGATCATGATCATGATCGTGGTATTGGTAGTAGTACTGTAGCATGACAATAAGAAAGCGGACGAGCCACTGTATCAAATAGGTGTGATGATGATGATAATGATGATGATGATGACGTTGATGATATTCACGCTTACGATGATGACGACGATAATGTTAAAGATTATTTGTATTATAATTACGACAATAACACTGGATGATATTTTCTTTTCCATTTCTCTCAGAGAGTAGCCGAGTCGGTGAAGACCAGTGGCGTGTCGGGGGAGGTCATCGTCATGGAGTGCGACGTCGCCAACGAGTCTGCAGTCAAGAGCATGTACGCAAACGCCGAGAACAAGTTCGGTGGTGTCGACGTCAGCGTGCAGTGCGCTGGTCTCTCGAGGGCCGCACCCCTCCTCTCTGGCGATACTAACGATTGGAAGATCATGCAAGAGGTAGGTCGATCGTACGACAAAAACTCCAGCGACAATAATTCGTTCCTATTTCACGAAGTGACGGTAGTGAGGAAAATCCGCACGCAAATTGTATGCGATTTTCATTCACTACCGTCAATTCGTGAAAATAGGAACGAATTGTTCCGCGGTCATTAACCATTCTCAAAACATATTAAAATTTAAGGATGTTTACCTATCGACGAGCAAATTGCATACAGTATTTGTTGCTCGGTTGGACAAATATTCTGACTTGCCCTACCTTACAACAGGTAATGTATGCTATTTGCATTCTGACTATTGAAATCCAATTATACGTAACAGGTGAATGAAAATATTTCGGCTAAAGGCACTTACAGGTGTAACAATGACGTATGCATTAAATGCATTTTCATTACAAAAATGATGATGCTCCGGTACAGTAACCGGAGTATCGCTCTTTGCACGCCTTCAATGAAAGATGACACGATTAAAAATACATCACAGCAGTGGAAGCGATGTTGGTAAAATATCCCGCATTTAACTTTGTGGTCGTCTGGGTATTGTTACATTATCGACTATCGATAAGGAGTGTCGTCTGCTGGATGAACATATCATTGCGTCACAATTAATGCTCTCGTATTACCTACATGTATGTATGTCTCAACAAACATCTTGGTATCCTACTCAAGTCTGTATACTACTTCAGATAATTGAAAACCTGAATATCTATTTCAAATCTTAAAACGTCTCCCGGGGGTCAGAAAGGGGCATATTACTTAGCATCGAATAAAGGTCTCAAATATCTATGAAGTGTATTGATGAAACTGGAGATGGTACTCGACTTGTTACATAGCATTGTTCTGAATACAGCTTGCTGGAAAGTCGCCAAACGGTAAAACGATATTGCAGGAGTAGATTTTTGTTTTAAAACACCAAGTCATTCATTTAATTTGTGCCAATGTGACCATCACAATTCGAATTTTGACAAGCTAATCCAGCTACATGGACCTTCGGAAGCATCCTATCGGTTCACATTTAGCACCTGGGTGGAGAGGAGCAGTGAAGATAAAATGCCTTGCTCAAGGGCATATACAGTGGCATGCCGGGGCTCGAACCTATGACCTTTGCATTCCCAGTCAAGAGATTAAATCACTTTTCATTAGGTTAATAAATCTGATCAAACAGTCCCACAAACTCAATATCCTGTAGTGCATTCTGAATGTCATGTTCTCCCATGCAGGTGAATGTTTTAGGAACGCTCTACTGCTGTCGAGAAGCCGTCAACTTGATGAAGAAGAATGGAGTCGATGATGGCGTCCTAATTAATCTAGTCAGGTAACTATGGCAACGGGATGGCATAGTATCTAAGTTTTAGTTATAACGAGTTCTCTTATCTACCTCGTCCTTAAAAGAACATGATAGCAAAGACTTTCGAAAAATCGACAATTTCAATACCTGATTGAATGCCCCAAAGAAATCACGTTCAGATAAGGTAGCAATACATCATTGTAATATTCGTATGTTTTAATAAGTGATGGACAAGGCTTTGAAATTGCTGTGTTTTTGGAACGACCTTCATCTGGGGTTCTCGCTCAATTGGATGTGGCACCCTGTTATTATTTTTTTTTAGAGCCCTTCTTCATAATATGATAAAAGTCTTTTTCCGTCGACCCCCCCCCCCTCCCCCTCCCCCTCCCCCCCCCCCCAAAAAAAAAATGGCGCCTCTGTATTTCCATAGACTTCAATCACCTAGACAGTGTACGAGTATACCGAGGTAGGCAAGATGTAGACTGTCGTTGTGTTATGTGTATACTTTCTGCGTATAGTAATTCATTTTCACAACGTCAAACCTATAATCATCAAATTTATGTTTTTACATATATACTTTATATATATACATATATACATATCCGTAATCTTACATGTACGTTCCTATACCCTTTGACAGGGCGTTAACTCTTTGTAAAGTATAATTATGAGTAATCGCTTTTGTGGCCCTAAACAGGACGAAATTTCACCATTTAATCCACCACGTCATTTAATTGCAACTTCTGTATTCAGTCTTGCCGCATACAAGTGGACACCGAACAGTGACATGCACTTCTACGGAGCGACCAAAGTGATGCTTATGGCCATCCAAGAGGGCTTCAGACAGGAGCTCAGAGGAATCAACTCCAACATTAGAATATCGGTAATTTGAGGCAACCATTTGTTGGTTTGGTTTAGTGCATGGTGGTTATTTTATCTGACTGCTAAGAAAGCTTAAAGGAATGTTAGTAAGCAGCCAGAGTCCCGACGGCGTTAGGTCCTCTCCGAGGGACCTGGTAATGAGGATTAATGCCTTACCAAGCGCATTAGCGCATCGACTTGGTGTCGAACCCGGGTCGCCGGATTACGAGACCTACATATCTCCACGGCTTGTTTTCCTTGCATCTTAAAGGGAACCTACTACAACGATTTAAAAAATGTATATGGTGTCATGAAATACAATTATTACACGATGTATTATATGGGTCAATGCAAAGGAAAATATTAGTATACATTATATCCTGCATCAAAAATTTGTTGGCTTTTGATTGGTTGAGAGCTCGTCACATGACCAAAAATATTTGAGCTATTTTTAGAAAGTACTATATGAGAGTACTATTTTGGTTTACTATTTGGGAGTTGAAAAAAAAATGTTAATTTTTTTTTTTTTAATTGAATCAATTTTTTTTTCAAATCTTAATTTAATGAAAACAACATATTTTAAATCTTTGTAGATAAAAATTGACATTTTTTTTGTTCTAAATTTGATTTTCCCAAAAATGTTTTTTTTTTTTTCTTTTTTTTTTTCAAATAAATTTTTGATGCAGGATATAAAACAAATATACCATGCCTTCTATTCGAGGTTCTGGTTAAACTATGTGCCTCGGTGACTCCAAAAGTACCATTTGCTTCGGGGCTGCGCCCCTCAGCAAATAGTACTATTGGAGTCACCTCTTGCGCGTAGTTTTAACCAGAACCTCTCAAGGCAGTGTATATTTGTATAATAATATGGGTTTAAAATAGCGACGATGTCTCTCAGCGGTTAATAGATATATTACATATTGCGATAGCAAGTTACTTATTTCTTATCATCCCTCCCCCTCTCCCCTATATATCTCTCTCTCTCCCTCTCTCCAACTCTTTCTCGATCTTACTCTAATAGATTCTACATCTATCATACATCTACCTATATTTCTTGTCAATCCATTATAAATCGAAGCACATTATTAGAAACTCCATCTACATTTTTTTTATTGAGATTTTCTGCTAATAAAAATGAAATCTCATCGTAACGATTATTAGTGCCAATTCTTTCTTTTATATTAGCCATTATTTATTGATGTTGTTCAAACTGTACAAAATTTGTAGGTTTTGGTAAACACCTTATTTATTGTTTTTTAAGTCCGATTTGTATTTGTTTCTCCAATAGGGTATATCACCTGGACAAGGGAATACTGGTTTCTATTCCGGCATGTTCGGAGATGTTTCGAAATCTTCGGTTCCTCTTCTCGAAAAGGTAAGGTCAATTGCGCCATCTACGGCCTGTTTGAAAGTACTCTGGCAAACGAGAGAACTTTACTTTTACACTGTATTTCAAATTGTAAAATCTTTTTTTCCCCTTGTCATGTCTTTCAAGCTGCAGCAGGCTCGAAATAGCCAAGAAGGGAGCCATGAACCGTTGAATGTGAATCGGATAAAATTGAAATGACAAAATATGACATATTACTAATTTAAAAAATTGATTGCCTGGTACGATAAATATCCAGATAACATCAAACAGGTGGAAGAGGGCAAAATAAGCAGAGCTTGATAGATTAGATTATTGACTACCTTCATTCGAAGGGGTGTGGACGAGATCTACTTCTAATAATAATAATAATAATTGTAATAATATTCCTAATAATAATAATAATAATAATACAAATAATAATAATTATTGTTATCTCATCAACAATAGTAATAATAATAACAATAAAAAATATTAAAAAATACCCTTTGAACCTAATAATTTTTGTCTTTGTTTTACAGCAACTCGAGGCTGAAGATATAGCAGATGTAGTGGAATACATTCTAAACACTCCTAAACATGTACAGGTAAAGTGATTAATCAAGGATTCCTCTTAACATTATGCATTAAAGAAATTCTGCTGAGAACTAGGGGAATGCTACCTGATACACCTGTGCATAGAATTGGCACCCTTCTGATTTCAGGCAGGCGGAATCGTTTTGCATCGTACAGATTTGTACGAAATACGAATAGACCACTAATTAAAAGGTGATACTTTGAAGGGGAAAATATGACAAGCTTTAGCGCTAGGAAGCCTTCAGCCTCAATGTAATCTATGCTATAAACTTATGTCGAAGAATTTGGCATATTTCATTTAATACTGAACTTTCAATAGATATCTCATGAATCTTATACGCTTCGGTCAATGACATCATTGAAAAATTATTGTGGCGGAAAACATCAAGTAATAAAGTGGATTTACACACGTCTAAGCCAGTTATTCTTTACATGTAATGCGACAATGGTTATTAGCTATCACCTCCACTGAACGGTAGCACTTTCCAAAACTGTCTCCATGAAGTTCCAGAGTACCACAATCTATATTGTCTGAAGAACCTAAAAGAAGTCTGACCGTAATGTGATTTGATATCCATTTCCAGTGGTGTAGCTACAGGGGGCAGCTACAGGGGGCACGGGGGCACCCTTCCCCCACCATCGAATGCTTTCAAACGATGAAAACAAAATCTCAAAAAGAGAACAGAGTCGAAAACAGAAAAGGGAGAAGGAAATGGATGAGTAATGAATGCCATAGTACCCCACCCACTATTCCGTTGCCTTGGATACTTGCATTCAATGAGCCCCCCATCCTTCCCAGTGTCTGTGCCCCCTCAACGACTGGACCCATGCTACGCCACTATCTATTTCTATGAAATTCTTTTGCTTAGATGTGGCCAGGCGCCGTCTCAAATACTTCTCTATATTAAAGGTATTGGTGACACTCTCCTCAAGACATTAAAATATGTATTTCTCATGTTTAAAAAATCAATCGCCTTGAAAATCTAATCTCATATTCACAAAGAATTCTTGAAGCCGAAATATGATATTTACCTCCAATTTAAAAAAAAAACAATCACGATGAAAATGACAAACCGTTGTTCATGAAGGTTAAACTATATCGAATTTCTAGATAATTATATTCATTTGTGTTGTCAACAGGTTTGCTGTAAAGAAATGTATTCACAGTTTTTTTGTTGATATATTATTCTTGATTTCTTTTTCTCTTAGATTCATGATGTTCTGCTACGCCCCGTCACACAGCCATAATAACAATCCAAGGACCCACTGCAAATCTTCTCAATTAAAAAAAAAATGTAATTGTTTTTATACTTTTTTTAAAAAATGTTAAAAGTGGGTATTTAAGGGATTTTGGCAATCTTTAATTATCATACAAGGGTGTTGTCAAAAAAGGTGGTTATTAGTTAGTTATATTAATTAAAATTATAGTATTTTAATTGTAGAAAAGACTATTTGAAAATTTCCATGATAATTGGTTGGGTTCGGAAATATTGTAGTATAGCTTTAACATTTCTTGATTTAATGCATTTTGAATAATAAGATTGTTCTTATGAATCTAATAACTGAGATGAATTTATCGAAATTTAACGAAATACCTGTAAACATGATTATTTAATAAGAAATCAAAATTTGAAAACATGGCTGCATTTAAGAACATCTGTCACGTCTAGTTTTTACTTTTTGATAAGAAGATGTTTCCTAATAATCATAATTCACAGTTGCTATAGTGTTTATTGCACTAGCAATCATTGTGATAACGAGGTGTGCCACATTTCGGCCATTTTTGTTCTTGCCCGAAAGCCAAATACTGACTATACCTCATATAGTTATGCAATAAGTGTAGCCTTATCACAGGATGTCTAGCTCTTTTTTTTTATGAAATCGAAAACAGCAGATGGTATTGTTCTTACCAGGTCTGTAAATTATATGGTGGCCCTGAAGGGACATCGCGAATAGACTAAATCGTGAAAAATATGCGATAAAATTCACGATATCGTCAATTTTATCGCATATTTTTCACGAAGAAATTCACGAAATTGACGATATCGTGAACTTTATCGTGAACTTTTCACGATGAAATTGACGATATCGTGAATTTTATCGTGAAAAGTTCACGATATAAAGTTCACGATATCGTCAATTTTATCGTGTACTCTATCGTGTACTCTATCGTGTACTCTCCTGACGGGCGCTTCGTAAACAAAACCAGCCCTAGCTGGGGGAGACAGAGAGAAGGAAAAAAGGGAAAGGGAAAGAGAAGATAAAAGGAAAGAAAGAATAATAAGAAGAAAAGAGGGAAACGGGGGGGGGGGCGAAGGGCTCTTGCCTCCTCCTCACTCCCCCCCCCCCCCGCCAAAAAATAAATAAGGAGAGAGAGAAGGGAAAGGGAAAGGGAAAGAAAATATAAAAGGAAAGAAAGAAGAGGAAGAAGGAAAGAGGGAAACGGGGGAAGGGCGAAAGGCTCTTACCTCCCCCCCCCCCCCCCCCGCCAAGAAAATATAAAAGGAAAGAAAGAAGAGGAATAAGAAGGAAAGAGGGAAATGGGGGAAGGGCGAAGGGCTCTTGCCTCCTCCCTCCCCACCCCCCGCCAAAAAAATAAATAAGAGATAGAGAGAGAATGGAAAGGGAAAGGGAAAGAGAAGATAAAAGGAAAGAAAGAAAGAAGAGGAAGAAGAAGAAGAAAAGAGGGAAACGGGGGCGAAGGGCTCTTGCATCCCCCCGCCCAAAAAATAAATAAGAGAGAGAGAGAGAGAAGGGAAAGGGAAAGAGAATAAAAAAGGAAAGGAAGAAGAATAAGAAGAAAAGAGGGGCTCTTGCCTCCTCCCCCCTCCCGCGCCAACAAATAAATAGGAGAGAGAGAGAGAGAGAGAGAGAGAGAGAGAAGGGAAAGGGAAAGGGAAAGAAAATATAAAAGGAAAGAAAGAAGAAGACGGAAAGAGGGAAACGGGGGAAGGGCGAAAGGCTCTTACCCCCCCCCCCCTCCCCCCTCCCGCCATAAAGGGAAAGAGAAGGGAGAGGGAAAGAAAATATAAAAGGAAAGAAAGAAGAGGAAAAAGAATAAGAAAAGAGGGAAACAGGGGCGAAGGGCTCTTGCCTCCTTTCTTTTCTTTCTTTTCCTTTCTTTCCTATTCTCCCTCTTTTTCGTTTTTCTCTTTTTTTCTTCTCTTTCCCTTTCCTTCTCTCAATCTCTCTCTTATTTATTTTTTGGCGGGGGGGGGGAGGGGGGGGGGGGCAAGAGTCCTTCGCCCTTCCCCCGTTTTCCTCTTTTCTTCTTCTTCCTCTTCTTTCTTTCCTTTTATCTTCTCTTTCCCTTTCCCTTTTTTCCTTCTCTCTGTCTCCCCCAGCTAGGGCTGGTTTTGTTTACGAAGCGCCCGTCAGGAGAGTACACGATAGAGTACACGATAGAGTACACGATAAAATTGACGATATCGTGAACTTTATATCGTGAACTTTTCACGATAAAATTCACGATATCGTCAATTTCATCGTGAAAAGTTCACGATAAAGTTCACGATATCGTCAATTTCGTGAATTTCTTCGTGAAAAATATGCGATAAAATTGACGATATCGTGAATTTTATCGCATATTTTTCACGATTTAGTCTATTCGCGATGTCCCTTCAGGGCCACCATAAAATTATATTCATGAGTGATATATATATAAACAGGAATATATGTTTTCTTTACTTTACATTTTAAAATATTACATCAGATTTTTTAGAATAATTTTTTCAACCAAAATTAACGTACAACGTTTTTCATTTTCCTCAACTGTTTTTTTTTTCGTTTCACATTCATTTTCTTCTTACATGAAGGAACAGATTTGTTCTGTTTTTTTTTTTCTTTTTAATATTGTTCTTTTTTTTGTTCCATTTGTTTTTGTCTTTGTTCTCTTTATGCTTTATTTTAATGTATAAAGCTAATGTACCTGCCTCACACTTACATAATTATTTTATTAATGATATTTTATTTCTTGAATGAATACTACATGTATTTCTAATAATCGTTTATATACGTTTCTGGGTGTATCTATGATGGAATAAATGTATATACGCATTTAAATGGAAATTACAGTATTATTAGTACCATTTAAGTCTTCGATTAAAGTTTATAATGACACCGTGCCACGATTAAAAAGTTTTCGAAATTGTCAGTGCCATTGAATAGGAGAGTTTGGCCAACCCGGTTCGAGTTGGACACAATATGGCGACTAATGCTTTGTTGGGCAAGCACAAAACAAAAGAATATACGCCATGTTGTGACCCAGTGACTGGAAACCAAGTTGGCCAAACTCTGTGTATGGATGGCTCTGGAAATTGTAATACAATAGCGTCCTCTTTAGGCCATTTAAAGAAATATACATGTAAAGCGTCCCCGCCACTGATCTCTACGGAAACCCCGCCCGCTTCCTTTTTGGGGGCCGCCTCCTATTTTTTTTTTTTTTTTTAAAGACCAAAAACATGAAAAACACTACTAAAATTGATCTATTTCTGATTTTTAAAAAAACTAGCCCGACTATCAGGGAAAATGTACTGAGTGGCCATTTTGAGCGGCTATTTTGAAAGAAAAAAAAATAAAAAAGGGCCTCCTCCTTCCTATTTTTCGAGAAAACAGGACGCTAAACATGTTTTTTTTTTTTTGGCCTTATATCATCTCGACAAAACGGGGGAGAGTGAGAAAGATCGTTGTGACTTGAGGTCGGATTATATTTTTATGAGCAAATCATGAGGAATGGTGACGAAACATAATTTTAATTAAAAAAATAGAGCATATTCAGACAGGGGCGGATCCAGCCGGCGGCAGGGGGAGGGTAGTGAGCACTATTTTTTTATGGGCCCTCGAAAATTTGAAAATTCGCACCCCCCCCCCCCCCCCCCTTGAGCGCCAGGGGGGCATCTCCCCCAAAAATGTAAAATTAACGTGTTTTTACACGTTATTCTCCACAGGGGGGGGGGGGCGGGGAACTTCTAATGGGGATCGCAACTATTGACCATTACTATCATTGTTCGTCTCTTTACGGGAGAATGGCTAAAATCACGACTGCAATTTTGACCAATCAGGTGGCTAGATTTCTAAAGAGAGGTATATAAATCACTATACACGCATGCGCAGGTCTATATCAAGAAGCGCGTAGTCCGTGGTTGGTTATAATTTGAGCTCTGTTTATCCATCAAGCTAACAACACAATCGAACATTCAAATGGTGATATTGGTAATGATCATGGGCGGATCCAGGATTTCACAAGGGAGGGGGAGGGGGGGGGGCTGGGGCACATTACAATACACAATGCAACTATCAACATCCCTTAGGGCATCCATTTCTTATATCTCTGGTTCTCTCTACCCTCTCTCTTTCTCTCTATGTCGAATGTCCTTGTCTTTCTGTCCGTCTTTTTCTGTGCCTTCTCTCGTTTTTTCTGTCTCTCCCCTTCTCTCCGTATTCATGTCTCTATGTCTCTCTTGCTCTTCCACCAACGAATCATTTCATCCCTCTTTCGAATTCCTTTCGTCATCTCCCTCCCATCTTCGTGCTCTCCCACCTCCACCCTTGGTCTTTTATTCTTCATCTATATACATCATTCATTATCTTATTAAATTTAACCTTTTTTCCCTTTTTAATACCCTTGTCTTTTTATTCATGTTCTACTTCTTCTCGTGTGCCCTCCTCTTATTGGAGGCCATTTACTTTTCTCTCTCTATTTTTCTCATTTCAATTGCATGTCTATTCATAAATAAAGAATTTGATATTTGATATATTAGTATTAGCCTTCATATAAATTGAGCTTCATCATTTTCATGTTTAAATTATTTATTTAATGATATAATGACGTCGTAGACTTTGGAGACCATAGGGTTAGCCTGCACTTTCTCAACACTGCATTAACAATTTATGATCATCTACTTATCCTAATCATAGTAGAATTCAATTCGGTTTTCTACAAAGTTAATAGCGGTGTCCATGCCAAGGCTCAGTGAATGGATAATGATGATTATGTTTATGTCGTGCATGATTCATTCCACTTCTGGTCGCCATGGCGTTCATTAATTCGCATCTCGTTTTTATTTGTTACCAATGCTGAGGAATAACGATTTCGTTTTCTCAGGTTTGCAGTTCAGTGTAAAATTCCCTTATTACTATTGATAATTCAGAAAAATAACGAAAAAAGCAAACACCTTTCATTCTCCAAAAAAAAATATGTTAGATGCTGGTTGTTTTGCATATATAAAGAACCAAAATCGAAAACCATTAGTTTGCTTTTAACTTTCCAGTAAGTATTTCAAAAATTGCAGCATCAGCTTGAGCATAATTTAACCGCACAAATCAGACGACTTACACACAACAAATTGACTATATGCTACAAATATTCAACTTCAAACATTGAGTTTACAAATGAAATTGAAATCTAACACATGTTACAAGAGGCACCACCAGAGTAAGGGGTGAATGAAACCCCTCCCACCAAACATGTACATATATATCTGACCCACCAGCCCAACCCTGCCGCCTCGGTTTCTGATTTGGGGCACCGGTGTGACTGGCCTGGTTGGCCTCCCACCTGGTCTGTACGATGAGAGGATTTTATTTTGTATTTATTTATTTATTTGAAATATCTATACAGGATAAAAAAAAAAGAAACAATCGAATCAGCAAAGCTGTTTTTCATCGATGTCCTGTTAACATGATTAAACATTTTCAATTCTAACCAATGGGATTCTTTTCATTATATCAGTACAAAATTATACAAAATAAGGCTTTAAAATGCAAGAAAAACACAATATTAGAAATTCGTTTGAAAGAAGTTAATGAATGACCAATCTTATTTGTTGAGTGAACAAATTTAATAGCAACAATAAATTCGGTTAAGAATCCCCATGGTTAGAATTAGATAACAAGTGCAAATACGTATATAATAATCCATATA